GTCAAGTTTTTTAACAACTCGACAGTTAATTGCGAAACACTAGCACGAAAGATCAATATTTTAATCCACAACGCATAAGAAAATATATCAGATACGACATGTAGGATGACAAAAAGTAGTATACGTTTTCCGTCGTTCGCGCAAAAAACCCGTGAAGAACTCGTGGGACGTGAACGGCCCACGTTCGCACGCCTAATCAAAGCGTCATTCGATCAGCTGACTTCCATAATGCGAGAGAGTGCGTATTGACTTTTGCGATCACAATCAAATCACATACGAAATTCCGGCCGCGAGGCTGGCCGATCGCCAAGGACGCGCCGACCGTCACCGGAGAAGTCTTATTACGGCACTTACGGTGAAGGATATTCCCTCGACGGAGCCGACCGCGTAGCAGCGATCGCCCGCATTACAGGCACCGCTCAGTATCTGATGACAATTCATGGTACCGCACGCGTCGCACACACACGCGAGACGTTAGATCATCGTCCGGCGGCCGCGAGCCGCCGCGCCGTTCCCGTTCTCGCGTTCGCTTTATCGAAACCCGTATCCGAGGATGCCCGCGTCGACGACGACGTCCGGCGACTCCGGCGGTCCGGCCTCGTCGGGCTGAGGCTCCGCGATCCCCGAACACTCCCGCAGGACGCGTCACGCGCCTCAGATCGACGCGACACAATGATCGGGCGGCCACCGCGCGGCCATCTTTAAATCGACGTCCACAATAGTCCACATCTACACGAGCGACATCGTCGCGTAAGGTCGCCACTCTCCACTCTCCCTGGCGCTGGCGCTGGCGCTGGCGCTGACGGCCGTGCCGTGCGGAATGCGGATGGCTGACTGGCCGACCGAACAACGAGGAAGGCCGAAGGCCGAAGGCGAAGCTGACGAAGGCGGCTGGCGGTGGCGGCTTCCGGAGCGCACGCACGCACCGAACGATCGCGCCGACGTCCGACGGCCGACGGCCGCGCGCGCGTATTGCGAATTCGCGCGTATCGATAATCCGGGAGATGCTGGCGACTTTAAGACGACGGCTCCCACGTCGTCGCCGTCGGGAGCGAGACAGATAGTGGATAGGGATGATATGGATCGTAATGTAAACACGATCGTGATTGCCTCAGGTGAGCGACGTTGGAGAAATAAATTGACGCCTAAATAATCATTTTCACAAAGGAACGATTTATCGCAATTTATTAAGGAGGGTCCACATTATCGAGCAAAACCGCGAGCCGAACTTCGCCGCGAACCGATCATGCGTCCACATTATCGAGCCGAACCGCGAGCCGAACTTCGTTGCGAGCCGATCATGCGTCCACATTGTCGAGCCGACGGACTCGCGCGAGGCTCGCGAACCTCGAATCGAACATCAGTGCGAACCATCGCGTACTCACCCCACGAATCTGCAAGGATTTTGATGATACGCGGTTTGGCTCGCAGTGTCCCACCAAAAGTCGGTATTCTGACGAAACATCAAAAGATGCTTTTTATTATCAGATTATACGCTTTGTCGGGTGGTAAACTGGTAGTTAAGCTTCGAGCTAGACAAATAATGACAAAAAACAAAAAATGAACGATGAAAGAAAACGTGAGTAATTGCCCAGTCGCTGTATTTGATTCTATCCACGTATGTGCAGTCTACACGACTACTGGTAGACAAAATGGAATGGTCTGATAAAAAATGTTTAAAATTAATTAGTGATTATGAGCAGAAAAGATTATTATATACGGGACGCTAAAAATCCCGAACATTATAACAATTAAAAAAATGCATATTTATATTTACAATCGTATTTTTAACATTGCAATATATATTATAAATTTATTGCGTATTTATCATAGATTTAGAGTATGTTTGTGCAATATTAAATATAGTTGGTACCATTCTAAATATAGTTTTATGGTTTGAAAAGGAATTAAGCTTTGAATACAAGAAAATAATAAAAGCACGCATATGTATACACATATTTAGTCGTCTTTTCCTGTTCTCATACCTTTTTTATAAGAAGAAATAAGTAAAGAACTCGAATGTGATAGTGACATGTGCAAAAAAAAGATGACGACATTATTGGCATCTCTGCAAAAAGAAAAAGCAAAAATAAAAAAAGTATGGAAACAGGAAAAGGTGAGTGAATATATGTATATGTGCTTTTATTATTTTTCTGTATTCAAAACTTAATTCCTTTTCAAACCATAAAACAAAATTTAGAATTAATATTGCATAAACATACTCTAAACCTGTGATAAATACGCAATAAATTTATAATATATATATTGCAATGTTAAAAAATACGATTGTAAATATAAATATGCATTTTGCATACATGTATTAAGAATTTATATAAATTTTATTATAAATTTCAATACGAGATTTGACTTCAAAAAATTTTAACTCATGTTCGCGGTTCGCGATGGAGTTCGATTTGAGGTTCGTCTGCAAGTTCTGCTCGAGGCTCGGTTCGGGACTCGGTTCGCGGTTTGGCTCGATAATGTGGACCCTGCTTTATGTCTCAAAACTGACCGATGACATGCAATCAATTAATTCGCAATTTCTTCTTTTTTACAGCTATTTAATATTAAACTAATAAAGGGGCGACACTTGGATCGAACTCCTATTAACTTTAATCGGTGAGCAATTACTCAACAACCCTCTCCTTTCCCGGCAAAATTGCTCGCTATAAAATTTCTATGTAATTTGATATTCGTTAATTAATGACAAAGAATTAATTATTCTATTCGTGTTAATAACTGTAAATCGTTGCATCTTCTTTTGTGACTCGAAGAGAATGAATTTTTGGACTCGTTCTTAATTCCTTTTCTTCTTCAGTCTCAAACATATCGATGATTCGATTTATTGTTATTAAATATTAATTACAACATGGGCGTATCAGTCGAAGACAAAGTTTAATTTGCAATCGCGTTTTATAGTATTTCGTCTCTTAAATTTATGTATCTACAATAACATGAAATTGTAGCAACAATTTTGCAGTAAAAATTATTAGCGACGCTGAGGGATTAACACTGGGAAAAAAAAAGTTGGTCTCTTGTAGATGTACACTGCTACACTGTATATTCGCTTGTCGTAGAGACTCGCTTTGAACGAGGCAGGTGAACAACACGTGTAACATATGCATGTCGAACGCGCCGTTCACGTACACAAATGTCGTTTAACGACAAAAGAAGAAAAATGCACGTTATAGCGGCCCGCTATAATCGAACAGTGTGAGCTTCTTCGGGGAAAAAATTATTCACCGTGCGATCATATCGATCCTTTGTTATTAACCGCCTCTGTGCTATATTTAGCAAATGTCTTTCCGAACCGTCTTTCCACTAAAGCGTAATTGAAGCGCATTGGAACGCGTGCTCTTTTTCTCTCTCGAATTACAGCAGGAAAGGTCTTGGAGAAGAGGAATCGAATCCAGAGGTCTGATGGAAATTGTGTGATTCGAGGGAGGAGAAAGAAAAATTTAATCCTGCATTCGAGTCGGTGTGAAACGGCGACGCGATTGCTTATCTTACGAGGAACTAACACTCGGATACGTGCATGTCATTAATTGCGACCAGTTGACACCAATTATGAAGCATACGCTGGCATACTGCGTTCCTAATGATGTAACCGAGAGCGGAATGCGTGAAAAATATTTTCCCAACTCGCATTGCAAGGCGGTGTACAGACTTAATGTTAAAAGAAATAGGAAAGTAAATGCCTTCCTTTAATTACAAAATTAATGCGACATCGTCTCAAAATTCTTGGTATATTTAATCAACATTATAAGTTTATTATTACAAAATTATGTAAACATGGAGCGATAGGCACATTATCATTATTTCAACAGAATCAACAAGTATCTCATACACATTTCTACATTAGACATCCAATTCTAAACACAGACATTTCGCCAATTTAAAAGGACAGAATTTTCAAACATATGTATTAAAAAATCGCATCAAAAGCTTTGTATTATTTCGTGATATGACACGAGTGGCATATCACGCGAAATTAAAATTAGCGAGGAGGACTGAGTCGTTTTTTTAAATTCTTTACACACAGCAATACAGCAGTTACAATAAATCTTATTGTATGCAGGTACACATTTACATATTATTTCCGTAAAGAAAAACGGAATGAAATCTAAGGATTGCAAATTTTAGCCTTGTGAAATAAATATTTCTTTCCTAGTTCCTAATCCATCTGTTTTTCCAGATTTTGCGAATGATAATCAGCGTTGTGTGTTTGCGCGACGATTGATATTAATGAATCAAATGCCACCTCGCTCCCGTGGATTGACAGACTTGCAGTATTTGCGAGGTAAGGGCAGTAAATGCCGTGTGCAGGCGTATGTGTACGCGCATGTGTACACATTCGCGCAGGCAGATAAGAGAGGCATAGAAGCGAAGATATAAAAACCTAATAGCTGCCTGGTCCCCCGACGCATGCTCCGTTTCAGGGTCTGGCTGTGGGGTGATATCCAGTCGGGTAAGAGAGCTTCGTCTGGTCCGCGTCGATCATTACCTGACGGAGCGCAGAGCCCGTCGAAGACGCGACGAAAGGGAAGATGAGGGTTTACCCGTTTCTAATCGCTTCTCTACGCCCTGTTCGGCGTCGCGAATACTGAGGAATATACCATCCCCGTATTTCCACCCCGTCAAGGGAGCCAAGTCCATGTCCGTTAAGCGTCGACGAGTCTCCTGGTCTTCCAGAGGTTTCTGTCGGAGCGACCGGCTACTCGGCTCGGGATAGCTCGGTGCCACCAGATCCAGGCCTTTATCAGCGATTAAATAAACGCGGCCCGACATCGACTGTCGACTCGTCTTGGGCCCGGCCTTGGGCGACCAGCGACCACGTCATCGGCATCCCCGGGATACCCGCGCGTGTACGTAGAGACCTGCAGTGTATACGCTGCGTATGGTGTCGGTGTGCGTACGCGGTGAAACAACACACACCACCTGTGGCACATCCGTCATCCGCCGTCGTATTTACGTTGATGTCTCTGTCATACATATTATTGCTCTAATTGGAAATTCAACAATGATACCATTCATCTCGGCGGCTGTTTCGAACGCCGCGTGGATCCTGGAATCAAAACCAATGTAACTTCGGTGAGTTTTATCGATGTACGATCGCAAAATGTGGATTAAATGTAGATAATAAATTGGATAAACGCATAAAAAATTCACACGCACGTAGATAGAATTTACTGTTTTTTTAAACGTAGAAAGCAATTTAGCATTATCTGTAACATCTAATCGGATATATAGCACAGTATATTCTATAAATTTTATTTAACATCAAATGTTTAGTTAAAGTAATTTTACAAAACTATATCTCTTTATCAATCTTTGCAACATAAGTTGTAGAATTACCAAAGTTTTATCTACAACGATCATAATTTATCACTCGCAGTTATAGCGTTTATTTGTATGAAACTCATTCGTGCAAGGAATTACTTAATAAATAATTTAAAGATATAAATAAAAAATATTAGCGATGAAGAAAGCTGTATAATAATCCGTGTCACATTAAAGAATTTATAATCGCGGCACAGGGTCTTCGTTATTTCTTCGTTCAGAAATAAATTTAATTTATATCCGATTATTGCCACGTGTCTGTAACATCGAAGTTTGAAAGTACCGAATTTATATCGGTTTCAACCCCCTATTTTCGCCGTCGATCATTGACCAGTATATGCGCGGATGGCTCGAAAACATGAGGGGTCGTGCGCGACGATCTTGTTAGTGAATTAATATCAAGCCAATGATCACAGAGAGAAAAAGAGAGAGAGAGAAGGAGAGAGGAAGAGATAATTCAATCTAAAATTACTATCCGTATCGTTCAACATCGGATTTTTATCTTTTATTTTAAATTATTTTAGTTATGCTTTATTTAATATTCCTTATACGTTAAATTATCTAAAGTAACTGAATATTTCTGATACATATAAATTAAGAAAAATTCTGCACCTGATTCACATAAGATTCTTTCGTTTGACCGAAAATAATTTTAATTGCGAAGGTCTAGGACACGGAAATTACCGTCGTCGACGATACTATGACCAATCAGATGTCTATATCGCCCCATTGCACTATGAATATGAATGAACACGAGAAGAATTTAATGATGGGAACGTTGGAGCAGAGAAAAGAGGCTTTCAAGGAGGACGAGGAGCTCATGAGAGAAACTACGAAATTTATTAGCGAAGTGATAGAGACCGCCGCTACGGAGGCTTCGAAAAGAAAGATTCAGTCGGAGGTAAACGACTTTACGATTTATTAAATTAAAAATAGTTGGGTATATATATCGTGAAGATTGGGTAATGCAATATTTCCTTTTTGTGTTTCAGGGAGATGGCACAGGCGAAGGTAAGTACAAATTGACCACTTACGTTCTGATTTTTACGATTCAAATGTTCTAATTTACGGGATTGAAACATTCTCAATTGACTCGTGTCGGCTATAACAAAGGAAAAGAAGGCGGAAAAAAATAAAAAATGGTAAATATTTTATATTCGGAGAGATAGAGGAAGAAAAAGTAGGTAAAGAGTAAGCAAGAAAAGGCAGATGATTCATTAAATGTAGACTACTAGATCGTTAAATTGCTAGATCGCTAGAGATAATTAAACAAATTTATAGATATCGATACATAGGTAAATATATAATAATTAAATAAGCAATAATTTATTGAATAGACGCAAATTTGAATCGCCAAGTAGAAATATGTTCGTGTTCGTGTAATACCTCCGTAAACTATACGGGAAAATATGTAAACAAAAAATATAATGGAAAATCAAGATTATAGGAAAGCAAGATCGATATTTATAAACTAATCATTTAACTTTTTTGTCAAGTTATTAACAGCTAAGTTATTAACTTATTTTCTTTCGCACTCTTTTTTTCTTACACATTTTCCCGTGCCATCAATAGCAACGGAGATATTTCAGATGATCAAGTCGGGTGGGACACCCCGTAGAGCTACTCGCAAAGTAGAACGTCGCGCAATTATAATTATCTTTCGAGATTGATATTTATAACACGCTGGCTATTCGTGTGTGTGTGCAGGTAGTAGATTGAAGGGTGGCGATACCATCGCTGGCTGGAACAATCGAGCGCGTGGATTCTGCAATCGTATTCTGAATGCGCTTTGCCCGTGCTTCACTAACCATGGTAAATCGTAGAGCGATTCACGTAGTGACCGTCGCCACGCTATTGCCAGCCTCCTTTACAAACAAGTAGTTTTGCATAACGCTCTCATCGTCATATCGCATCACCATCAGGCTGCAGACATCCTCCCATATATCATCTACAGGTAGATGAAGAACGAGTCGACCACACCGATCAATTCACGTATCGAGCCGGTCTCTGTGAAAACGCTTGTTTTAATCACTTCGCTAATCGGCGAAGAACGATGTTCTTACAGTCCACATTGGACTATTATTTCTAGTATGAAACCAATGGCTGATTGCCGTCGAATCGTTCGGTATTAATCATTCGATAAATCATTCGATTATTTGTTTCGATCCTTTGATGTAGATTTTTACAGCACGTAACATATTTACAGTTCGTCATTAGAACGTTCTTTCGAAGATGTTTTGTCACGAGTGTCACGACCCGCGCTTATCTCGCAAGATCTTTTGATTATCATGTGCAAATTCATTAGATGGTACTGTAAACTTCTTCACCTGGACATTTTTACAAATCAGTTAGTAGATCCGTAGCAATTCGGCATGTTTCATCATCGAATAATAAGCGTAACTGGAAACCTCAGCTTGGATCGAAGTCGGCAGACTGCAGACTGAGGGTAGAGAGCGGAAGTTAATAATCAGTTAAAGGAAGAGGAGAAGAAATATTTTTATTTTCAAACACAAGCGAGCTGGGCGTTTTCAGAGTGCATGCTAATTTTGCATCCCAAGCGGCGCGAAAACGACAAGATAGTGACGTTCTTCGCGCTGGTGCACCACTTGCATGCTAAGAATATTTAGATGTGGCAAGTGAACGATGGATATACAATGGATATGTATTCTTTTCCCTTAGAACTGTTCACCTGGACTCCGTACCGGTATCGCTTCACAAGACCTTAACCGTTCGATGACTCCCCGGATTTTCCGTTCCGTCGTGCGAGCTTGCCACAAGCTAACAAAGAAACAAAATAGAATTAAGTTCTTTCCATTGTTAAGTCGTATCTCGAGTCGCGTATCTCTCGTGCGGGCCAACTGAAGACATCGCATATCCTATTTGAAAAATCGGCGCGGCTTTCTAAATCTCGATCTGGTTGGAGTAGAACACGTCGTTAAGGAATGTATTAATCGTGTGTAAACAATGGAGAGTGCCGTGCGTAACACACGAATCGTCGTTGTCGACGTACGCCCTGATAAATCTTTCTGATGTCTCGTGAAAAAAGACGAGAGTTTAATCTGCTGTGGCTGCTGTGCAGCCGGGCGTGAAGGAAGCTACATTAGTGTTCAATGGAAGAGGTAACTATAGGTGTAATTGGAAGTGGCTCGTGTACTTTTATTTCCGAGTAACTGCATCGCCTTGTAGAGCAGTTTGATGAAAAAATATGGCAATAGTTAGTTTCTTATTTTGTTCAACTTTGAGATAGAGTCACTTTTACTATTATGCCTTCCAATTCTGTAAGTTTCTCAAATGAGGCAATAATGCCGCGTGACGAATAGTTCCTCTCGCATTCTTCGCGATGTTAAACTTGCTTTGATCTAACGTATATAAAAAAGGGACTTTTGTATACAATTAAACAAAACGTATGTTTTGATTTTAATGTTTTTACCTTTTTCTCTGTAAATTTAGCCAAAAAAAAGTAATGTGTGTGTGTATAAGCTAATTTTATATTATACAAAAATTGAATAATGAAATATTGGAGTTTATAAATGACAAAATGTAAAAAAGTTAGAAAGCGATGTGATGACAGATTACATTATCGAGGTTTACGGAATGAATACGATCTGACATATCGGATATTTTAAATTGTAAAAAGATTATATTATATTTTGACAAACGTTATATCGTGTGACATATTTTAACTTAACGGTTCACAATTTGTTGAATATCTGAAAGGGATACGACACAATTTTCAATTAATTCAGAGATATAAACTGGAGATAGTTAACATCTGTTCAAGTTTGAAGACATTATCAAGCATAGCAATAATGCATGTGAAAACTAGAAAATTTATATCAAGCTGTACACTTTACGTGTATTTATGTGTCATAGAACGTCAAACAAGAGAATTAGTCAAACGTACTGTGTTCCGTGATGTCGTCAATATTAGTTTTGGCTTTGGGAAAATTTATTAAAGAGGATTCCGTTATAGATAACCGTAAGCCTATTGCTTGTTAGGCACAGGAGAATTGGATCAATACCGTTGATATTGATGGAACTATCAACACATGTATCATTATTATCAGAAATGTAGGTGTGTGAGTAGTATTATCTTATTTATTTCTTCCCGAATCTGTAAAAACTCGTTAAGACTACAGAAAATGTTACTTGTGCTCGAATCGCGTTATAATGGAGAAATTAATCGGTTGCGAAGATAAATTTCAATAATTAATCGACTACGTTTTCAAAGCGCTGTGTGTTATCCGTATTCACATTGAATGTACCTGTGTCAACATTATAAGCCGTTAGATATAATTGTACGGTTACATCGTTACACAGGGTATTCTCGGAGAAAACACGATATACATGTGACAGTATATCCAAGCTTCACTTGGAACAGAGTTCAAAGTCAAATTTCTCTCTATAAATATTATTCAAATCTGTCTGTGCTTATTCTGGTGGAAGATCTGATTTCACAAACAACTGATTCGACAAAATGTCGAGGCAACCGTCCTCGACATTTGTCCTTTATTTTGGAGTATTCTGTGGATATTCCAAAATATATTCTGCAATATGTCAAAAGAAAGGATCGATACAAATCGTTTGCGGTTTATATCCCTGTGTAACGTGTCACTAACCGCGCACGTAAACGGCGATGACTATATTTCGACGTTGAATACATCGGCGGAACATTGGAAAGGTGTTGGAAAGAAAATCAATATATCCACGCGGTCCTCGTTTTGGCCACGAATCGCCGTTGCGGAGCATGTGCCGCCTACTGTATTTTCACTGGCAAAAGCTAACAAGAGCGGGTGTGCCCTTTAAAATGTCGCCTTTTCGCTCTTAATCGTTCGTCTATATGTGCATATTTTAATTCCGATACCATATTATAGTGTGCAAGGGGCATGCTAGGAGGTTGCGGGGGTCCAATGTGTTTATTTTCTTGCACACACGTACCCATATAACACACACATACATATACACTTAGCAGATTGTCCCTGATAATTTGCTGAACTGAATTTTCATTCGCATATTCCCGGAACAAAGAGCGAGACTACGCAAAGAAATATTTCACGTTGCCTATTTAGATGTATAGAGGGATCAACAGTGTATTATGTATATCAGAGAGACGAGTGACAATCAAATGTGTGTGAATTATGTCGTGATATATGTACATATATATATGCGTTATATAAATACAGATATATATATAAAATTTAATATCGCGATGAACTTTGTATTTTGCGTTACCGGAACAGTCAATGTGTAAAGGAAAAATATATTATATTGCATCGTTATCTTCACATCTTCGGTACCGCGAAATCGCAAGCTAGCGGCCATTGGATAGATATCAAACTACCAGACACGTACTATCGACAGACTCACCGCACTTATGAAAGTATTATTCTGAAAACAGCTGTCACGTATATAAATACACAATAAATATTTACGTTAAAAAGAAGAAAGCAATCTGTCATTCTTTTTACACATACAATATATCCCTCAAAATTTCCTTTATTTCTGTATTACATATTTCTCGGATTAGGCGTCCTTTTGTTTTTGCACAAATGCTAATTTCCAATTATTTCTTGCCTCATCAATGCATATTGCATTATTACACGTTAATAATTCAGTAAAGATATCAAACGGAGTTATGTTACAATTGACATAACGTGTATCCATGTTATTGCGACTGCTATGGTAACGCAAAGTTTGCGTTGCAAACCCCTTACCAAGCAAGACGAAACCTAGAACCGATAAGTTGTAACGGTAAGTTGAAGGAGAGAGGTTGAATGACTATCTCTTATTTTATGATTTTCTACCTATCTTACCTAAAATACGTACACGCGCTTAATGTTCTCGAATTTACATTAGCATAACAATTCCGATAAAAAAAAAACGTGTAAAGGACTTGGTTACACGATGGAGAGCCCGCGTTGTATACGAGAAAAAGATAAAACTCAGAGAAAAGAAGAAGCCATGGAACAAGATAAAAGCGACAAAGGAATTGACATTTGTCAATCGGAACCGTGCACAGGAATAACAAAGCGAGATGAAGAGCCACCCGTCAGGAAATCTCGTAAAAAGCATTGCGATTGGATGAAATCCAATTCCGATACATATTGCCCCAATACCAAGCTTTTCAAAAGTTATCACACGCATCGAAAGGCGTACGATCGCTTGAAAAAATATGTTAAAGATGAACTGAGGAGTTTCGATTTAGCACAGACATGCGAAACTTTGCCCAGGTAAGTTACTATAACAATTCGCAAAGTATCGTTTGCTTGTTGCAAAATACAACATATTATAAATATTCCTGTAAGTTTATTGCACGTAAATTATGTATAAAATTATGTTTAAAAAACTATTGAAAATGATTTAAAGGGACACTACGGCATCGAAGAAAAAGGAAAAAGAAATGGTTTTTCACAAGGACGATTATTATATGTCGCTACGTCGACGGAGGGCCGAATTTCGGATGCATCTGATTAAGAAAATCAAAGGGCCGATGAAATACGACGAAAGCCGGCGCGAAGATAAAATGGAAATTTGCAGCGACTATGCAAATGAGCGGACGGCTTTAGACGACGATAGCGTTTGCGGACAAACAGCAGCAACTCCGAGCGACGTCGACGATATCGCCGACATTTGGCTCACGGAGGAAGACAAGAATCTCTTGAGGTATTACTACTACATTCTTCATGAGGTTGACGACGCTCATGCAGGCACCTTAGATTCTGACACGTTAAAGAAGATCACGAGCATGGTGTCCGCTGAATGGCAGGAGAGACACGACGAGTGCTTCGACCAATTAATTCGGGAATTAAAAACTGACTATGTCAGGAGCATGAAAAAATCGATCGTTGACTTTGTGCTGCAGGAACCCTTCGAGGAGGCGCTCCGCGTTCCGGTAAGTACGACGTCTACAACGATCCATATGTAACATATATATGAAGTATTATTTCACGCGCAAATTTTTTGGGCGCCTGATGTTGGGTCGGCGTTCAACATGCCCTTTTGCCGATAATTCAACGGTCGCTTTCACACCCGATTGTGCACATTACAGCCGTTACTCTCCCGAGAAATCGCTGAATTGTTGTCGCCGGAGCACAGTGTTAAGTATAAAAAAATAAAAGCGAAATTGGAGAAGAGATCGATCATCCTGTATCACCCGTGCATACGCAAAACTTTAGATTACTGGTATCGTGAATACGGGTTAGTAAAAGTTGGCACATAGTATCAAAATATCGTTATACGTGAAATGATTCTTATACATTATAATTTTGTATAATTTTGTAATTCGTAGAGAGGCCAAACAAATAGACAAACGAGAGCTGGCGTCGTACAGACAATCGTACAATCTTTCGAAATTCGATTACAAATTTTTAAGAATCCTCAGAGACACGAGCGATGATCTTCTCAAACGGTGGCTGCCAAAGATCTGTAACGTTTTACTCGCAGTAAGAAATTTGCTTTATTATTCAAGCAATAAAAAGTACTAGCAAGTATCGATGTTAAATTACGTCTGATTGTTGTCAAAATTTTCACATTTAAGGCTTCGAAGAAGGGAAATTTGCCACCGGTGGACAATCCGCAATATAATAGATTCTTCAATTGTCTTGCCTACGTCATGGAAGATCAATTGCGAGACTTGTGCTTGCGTTCAATGGAAGACTACATTGATTATCTCATGGATGTCGGTGTACGTATATATTTTACAGACTTTGATGTTCGATTAAAAATTTGTTTTTAATATATATATTTCGGTCAATTAAGTTAAATTTAAATATAATTATTATGAACAGCACACAAATTGTGGCTTTAATATAGACGTTGTGGTACGGAACACATCTGTTGTTTTTGATCCCACATTCAAAGCATTTGCGAACGGACTTTCAATGCTGCTAAATTCTCTTTACGATGCTGTAACAACGTTACCACGAGCGGAAGTAAAACTTGGATGGATTTGTCCGAGTAGTAGTTCACCTGAATTGCTCAAGGTATAGACGTCACGTAACGTTGTTCAGAAAATATCGTAAAATGTTTTAATAAAATCATTAATTAATTGCCAAAAACTATCATTTCGAGTAATTATTTCATTGTTAAACTCACTAACAACGTACACTTAATATAATGATTAGAAATTCTTAATAAAATTATTACAATACTATAATTATTAAATTTCTATATGTTTCCATAGCCAATGATTTCTTCAGATCTTCTTGAGCAACACGCAAACGCCATATCAAATTTAATTGAACAATATAGGATTGGTCCAGAAATGCAACTGCGCGAGTTTGATAAATATATGAGTTTGATAAACGACAATGATATCAATTACGTTCGGAACTTTGTGAAGGCCCAACCGCCTAATCCGTACCAGAAATATTGCGAACTCGTTGATTATTATGATCGTTTGAGCAAGAATATTCCGCTAGAATTTTATTGGACGTCT